TTTATTTAAATCACTAAAATTCAAAGTTTTATCAACTTTACCACTGTATTATGTTTACAGTAAAATATATCGTATAAATTAATTTTCAGTAGAGTGTTAGTGGCGTTTCGGATGTCACAGACAGTGTTTTGTAATAATTTACATTTATATTCACATGACACTATGTAAAAAATATTTAAATTGGTATAAATGTGTTGAATGACAACCGTATAATAATGTTTCCATTCTTAGTCTCCATCGGTCTTGCTAGACAGAGGGCTTTGCCCTTCTGAAATGAATTCTCACGCATGCGTAACCTCTGTTCCTATGCGAGAAACCACGTGCAATTACATTCACACCTTCAACTGTTACGCAAATATATTTTAGTAATCTTTATCGTAAACTACATCTGGCAAATATTAATACAAACAATAAATTATTAACACATTGTTCGATCAATTATTTTTATTGTAAAATACACTACTCTATAAAATTAAAGGATCACTAAATTTTGACCGAAAAATTGTCGATCTTTTTAACTGCTGTAACTTCGTGAAAAGAAATCATACAGTAGTCTATCTAGGCTAATCTTAAAAGGTGAAGCCTCTACTTTCATATCCCTGAACTGAATTTTTTCAAAGACACTTTCATATTATAAAACAGAGTGCAAAACTGAAGTTGCTTTTTTTTTTTAAATTTTACAAAATCAAACGACGCTACAGAGTGTAAAAATTTTTTTTCGAGGTTCGTTTTAAAATTTATTTGTAAAGGGAAGATTCCCATTTACAACGACCTGTAAAAAGTTGATATACGACCTTTGGTCGTCGTTTTATCTCAATTTAAATGAAAACTGTGCCGCCGAAATTAGAATAACCCAAGGTATACCACGAGGAGATTGTACGATCGAACTTGCACCTCGTGTGTAAATAGTGTGTGTGTTCAGTGCTGTGTTTAGAGCATGTGTGTTTAATGTGTGTATTTAGTATCTTTGTTTAGTGCGTGTTTTGTGTGTTTAGGAACGAGTATTACACCTCCTCGTTGCCTTATGTTGATGCATCGCACTAAATACACACTTTTCATTTAAACTGCGACAAAACGACAACAAAAAATCGTACATCAACTTTCTAGAGGTCGCTGTAAAAGGGATACTTTCCTTTACAAAGACATTTTGAAACGAATCTCGAAAACAAGTTTTTACACTCCATAGAGTCGTTTGATTTTGTAAAAATAAAAAATAAAAGCAACTTCAGTTTTCCACTCCGTTTTAAAATATAAAAAGGTCTTTGAAAAAAATCAGTTCAGAGATGTGAAAGTAGCCAAGGGATGTATGTCAAGTATGTGAAGGGAAAGTATATCAAGGGATGTCAAAGGACTTCTGCGGCAAGTTAGAAGAAGCGAACGAACAGGAGCGCCAGAAGCGGAGTGACTTGCCCCATGAAACGTTTGTTAACTAAAAAATCAGAGGAAGAACACAACTTCGTGTGTAACCAAATCGCAGCGAGCCAGCAAAACCGAAGATGGAGCGATCACGGTGAACCGTTCGAACTGAGATCGTGCTTACTTTCCGCTACACTTGGATCCTCTCCTCCTTCTCTGGCACTTCTCCTTCTACTTCGACCCACACCACTCACTTCCACCATCCATCGCCATCATCGAATCATTAACGTTGGAAAAGGTCCTGCTATTGTAAATAGCATGGAAAATGATATTTCGTGGCCCAAATTAAAAATATTTTTATATCGATTTTTTTAAAATAAAAACTTATTTTCTACGATATAATCCGATTATGTACAGTAACTTGTTTCAGAAAGACACAATTATTCTACACGAAAAAAAGATTGAAAACATCTTTATGTTGATTATTTTGAACAAAAATTTCTTTTTTACGATAAAATTCCATTACTTATAGTAATATCTATTGCGTAAAGTTTATGAGAAATAATACTAACAGTAGATGAAACATCTCACAAGGGAAGTTTGGTAACCCGAAAATTTACAGAATAATATGTAACTACATATGATAATAGTAGAAAGTAAATAGAAATTATCCCATTATACTGTTTAATAAAAATAATTTATTAATAAAATAATAATTTTTTGGTTTAATTTCATTTGTCGATTTATCACATTTAGTTATTTTACTTCATTTTAGATATTTTGAGTGTATGTATAAAAAACAGATGATTCACTATGGATATTTCGCCCACATGTGGGTATTTCATTCACGTTTAATATTGTATTATCGTATCTAAGCATCAATGCGATGAACTATCTAGTGTCTAGTTTTTAATTTAATATCGTATGAGAATTCTTCATGGTTAATGAGAAATCCAGGCAATAACTAGGGATTTATATCGAACAGAGTTCAAATCTGTCACGGTTGAACCCTTTATGGGAAACTTATAGCCGAATGTGAACTCGCATATGTTAGCTATCATATGAATATTCTTTCTACAAAAATATGTTCCTGCGTGTTCTTTTTTTTGTTTCTCTTCCCGTAAATTCGATTTCAATAGAATAACACTTCTATCATAAATATCTCAATAAATACTCGTTTTGAACATACTACACCTTAATACTTATTTACTCAGCTTTTGATGCTCTTTTAATTACCATAAAGAAACATAGGGTTTTTCACATGAAAAATCATCATGTCCTTAGAAATTTCATGTATAAACAATGTAGAAAATGAAATTAATTATTGTAACATATGCGCCCCTTGAAATCATGCAACTTTTGCTTCATACACTACTTCGTATAGCGAATACTTTGCGAGTAATTTCAGATCGTCAAGTTAAATGAATCACCCTGTATTCACATAATGGATAGTAAGCAGAAAAATTACTTGTGTTAACAAAACAGAAAACTTCCTCTACCTAGAGAATTGACAACGTTGATTTTTACAGTAATGTTTACCAAACACTATTTATTCAGTTTGATTAGTACAGTATACTTTCAAAGTGGGCAACCCCTTTTTTTAAGCACCCTGTATGTGTCTTCGTAGACTGCCTGGCACCAGTATTTAACAGTTTCTCGTGTTTCACGGAACTCCGTTTCCTGTCAAGTGGACCTTCGAAATACACAAACGGAGAATTTCTTTTCCAGGCCAGTGTGACTGGATATAAATGACTTGGAAAAGGAAGCTAAACAATACCGATGACTAATAGGATCCCCGCCATTCTTTTCGTCGTGTTTTCTCAGCAGGTCCCTAAATTGACTTATATGCTCATTGACGCGGTTATGTTCAACGTACAACGAAATTTCTACGACGAACGAAATTAACGAATTACACATTCGCCTGCACTGACATTATTTCATTGAAAATGTGAACAAATTTTACCTTTTAAGATAACTGAATTTTCTGTTGCACGTTTATCTTTATATTTTCAGTTTTGTTTTGTCTGTCGTAAACTTTGAAAACACTATATCCCATATAGGATCAAATTGACCCATAAATTCCGTAAGTGTGCATGAAAAATATAATTGGTTTCCATGAAAAAAATCGTACAGATTTTGTTCTTTTTTGTAAAGATTACTAATGTTTATTAGATATTTAAGCATATGAAAAAATTTCAGTTCAAATGATACATTTAATAACAAAGGAAAAGGAATTTGTGATCTGATTTTGAGTCAAACAGACTCAATTTTCATACAAGGGTTAAAGTAACTGAATTTTCTATTACACGTTTATATTTATATTATCCATTTCTTTGTCTGTCGTAAACTTTGAAAACACGAGATTCGTTTATTCAAAGTATCATACTCCTGGTAGGTACTTTTAAAAGATTTTCGTACTCAATTCTATGAATATTACAGTTGAACTTTCTTCAAATAAAAATAGATCATTTATAATTTATAATTCAATTTAAATAGGAATTGAAAATTTTAAATTTAGATGCATCAAATTTAGGTAAAATTGTCTAATTAATCGCCAATAATAATTTCTACGTTATATTAATCAATCATCTGATGCACCAAATATTACAATCAATATAAATTATAAGCTACAATGCATCACGCAGTTGCGTTCGAAATGTGACCGGGATAAAGGAAAATAAAAAAGTAGTTAACGCCCAAAGTAGTCTACACTTCGTATGTACTGACCACTAGCTTCTCTCTTGTTGATTGAGATCTATTCGGATTGGTTGAACTTGGCGGAGTTCTACCATAAGATTTGTCTGTCGTTTCAGCCCTACTCCAGCCCCGCAACTCTCGTGTTCTTCAACTACACCATCTATTCTGACTTCCACTAGCCCATCGCAGTGCAGTAGTATATGCTTGTTTGACATTTACAAGTTAGTGCTAACACAATTCACAAGTAGCGCGTGATTTCACGAACAACTTTACGAACAGTGTTTCCTTTCACCCTATAGCCATACAATTCCTAAGGTAATTGACTAGATCGACTTTTTAAGTGCTTTAATTTTTTTTTTTTTTTTTTTTTTTTTTTTTTTTTTTTTTTTTTTTTTTTTTGTAATTTTTCAAGCGTTTCATTTGTAAATATTCGGTCATCCCGTAAGTTTGTACCGAAAGCGAAAAATATTTCAATGAAAATCCAAGGAAATTCTACAGGGATGACATAATGGTCTTACCAAAAAAAAAAAAATAGGAAAAAGTTGTGAAATAATTTTTTTTTTTAATCAAATTTAAAGGTTCGTTGGAAATATCGATCTAAATTATTAAATTCGACACGAACTTATGGGATGACTTGATATTTTAGTGCGTAACAACGTTTGTGAAGTTTTACGTAAAGTTCAGTTTAGTGTTTTAATACAAATCTTTATTCATTTGGAGTAGCAATATTCGTCTATCTCATTCATATGAATTTTATTGTCAAATTATTTAGAGTTTTACCTTTACTTTTATACGGAATTTATGACGATGGATTTATTTTATTTTCGTCTATGTACTTAAATTGATTCTTTTTTCTACACATATATTGTTTTCGATAGCTTCCATTTATGTCCGTCGCTGTCCTTAATGAACGACAGTAACATAGAATTTCTCTTATTATAGACGAGATGTCTTGGTTAGAGAATGTAGCTTCAACGAATCAACAATATTCTGAAAATGTGTTCGAACCATCTTCTCTTCGAGTGAATCTCCAGAACACTTATTTTCCTGGAAATCGGGAGTCTTCGTGGAGTCCGAGATACTCCTGGAATAACTTTTCAAATCCTTACAACGCTTCAACGTCGAATAAATCTTCCAATGAGATTAATTTCTTACCGTCTTATACCGCAAACTTTCAACACTTTGACACGAACCGAAATTATCGAATATACAGGTATAAAAATATTCAAATAATTAGAATTGTGAATTTTCAAAAGCTGTGAATACGAAGCTTTAACTTTTCATGTACACTAATGACATAATAAAAAATTATTGTTTACTGTAATCAAAGGAAAAGCTATTCCCTTCGCTCTTTACATTCAAATTTTTCTCACTTTATTACATAATAAGAAAGTGAAGGATGAAAAGATTCAGCGCAATATAGTTGTGATAGCAAAACTTGTGCCGGGTGAGTCGTGGTCTATCCAAACTTATGCTATGCAAACCTCTGCTGCACCATTAGGTCTACGCAAAAGTTCCCATCGTAATTTTTTGAGGAATGTGCATTTATTTTTCATTATATTTATAATTATTTGCCATAAGAATACTAATAATATAATATTAATACCATATTTCAACATATAATAAATGCCAACTGTGAAAATTTAAATAAGGAAGAAGCATACAGCGTTTTTCAGATGGAAACTTTTGCATAGACCTAATATTATTCGTTACAAGCATGTTTTAAAAAATACTTTATCCTGATTTTAATTCTGAAACTTATTATATCCTCTTGATACCGGTATATTATGATTATTATTGCACAAAAAGTGAGGAAAATCATAATTTTATTTCACTTTCACGAACGCTGAAGCATTTAAATAGAAAGCATTCGCGTAATTGCAAGAACCCCTTTAAAATTTGAAGTTGCGTGTACGCGATAGTCTTCAGAAGTAGAATCTCGTTATACGAAAAAGGATATTCGTTGATTCAGTATTCAAGAAAAGTAGGTATATGTAAGTAGAAGACCAAAGTGTTAAGAATTTAGCACTTTTCAATTTCGCTTTAGTTCTAAAAAGAAAAAGGAGTTCTAAATAAAAGATAAGTTTTGATGGAAGTTCTAAAAAAAAGCGCGTAATTTTCTCGCAGTGCGGAATTTGTTAAATGCCACTCCTATGCAGGAAATGTTTAATCATTCGTGTAATACAGTTTTTGATTATTTCACTTCTACTACAAAAAGAAAAAAAAAAATGAGAATTACAGAATGTAAAAGTTTATAATAGTAGAATGTTAATCTACCTTCCTCTAAACATTGCTTTCGTTTTTTCATACAATTTTTGTTCCCGTTAAATTTTATTACGAAAAGACAACATTTATTTTCATATTATGCTACTTTACGAAATGGAGCAACGATGTCTGAAAAAATGGAAACGATGACATTGACGCATATTGATAAGGATCGCGCATTTATAGCAGTACTAATTGTTCCAACATTTATCCTACTGTTTATAATAATCATTACTACATTAATTAAACAATTTATTACATTTATTAATTAATAAATAATTTATAAATAT